TCAGCTTTGACCGTTGACTTCCATTGACTTTAGGGTTTTGGTCAAGCTGTGGATTTTGGAGGCTATGGAGGGGCGGAGTCTAGACCAGCCGTTCGAGTGTGGGATATATTGCTTTACTCTGGGAGGTGAGTCTTCTCACTATACTTACCTGAGTTGTAATACTGTGTGACCGGATGGTTTTATTTGAGTTATTAACTGGAGGGTCTTATTTGAGTTACTAACCGAAGCGTCTTATGTGCTTATACTGAGTTATGTGATATCATGCATTTTGTCTTTGTGATTTATGTTGTATATTATTTATGTGCTTTATTGAGTTAGGACCGGAGGGTCCAAACCAAGGTGTGAGACTGGAGGGTCTTCATTGAGATACCGGACTGGAGGGTCCGACCCGAGCTGTGAGACCGGAGGGTCTTCACTGAGACACGTGACCGGAGGGTCCTTATTGAGATGTTGTTATGAGAGGCTAATTATTTGTGTGTGGTATTTTGAGGAACTCACTAAGCTTCGTGCTTATAGTGTTGTGTGAAATGTGTTTCGAGTACCTCTCAGGATCGCGGGAAGGCGCCTGCATGATTGTACACACCAGCTGGAGATTATGTTTTGAGGATTCAGGGATATTGTTAAACATTTTGTTGTCTTGTGTTTTTAACAACTTATAATTTTTATTTTGAGAAATGTGAAATTGTAATTTGGGAGGTTTTAAAAATTAAAAAAATTTATTTGAAAATTTAGAGTGTTATAGTTACGCGTACGAGGGTACGCAACACGTACGAGGGGGGCACGTGTCAAATTTCGGATGGGGATAAGTGGTCATTCCGGAGCCAAGCTTTGCGAATACGTGGGGCGTAGGGCTCCTCTGCGTGGGGCGTTCACGTGCAATTTCGCATTAGCCACTTCCGAATTCTAAATTTTGTAACTTTCGCATACGAGCTTTGTTTTCGATGTTCTTTATCTCCACACGTAGGTGGAGACGTACTCTACAACTTTCGTTTAGACTCCGTCGGCTAATTTTGACTTTATTTTTAAAGTTATATTTTTAACTGGCCGGGACTGGTAAAGTCCGTTAAAAGTTCATAACTTTTTCATCCAACGCCCGTTTTCGTCTGTCTTTGTGGTTTATACTTTTCTTTTCATAAGCTATTAGAGTTCTCGGTTTAGGACCAAAAACACCATATTTTGGTGTTGTTTGGACCAAAATCACATGTGATTTTGGTTAGGCTTAATATTGTCTTGTTTGGGTTTTGAGTTGGGCCTTTGTTATTAGGTCTAGGTATATATAGTGTATTTTAGCCTTGAATAGTGTGAGGGACGTTTTTGTGTGACTCCATAAGCCAAGAACGTGTTTTATAGAGAAACAGAAAGAAAACCAAGTGTAATCAGAATCTTATGTACCAGACCATCATCAATATAGTGTGCATTGAAGATTCATCTTGTGTTGTTTATTCCATATCACGTTTTGCATCATTCACTTGATTGGGATTCTGCACCATCATAGTGAATCTGATTGATACGTCTCGATTTGGGGTTTTACACTTGGTATCAGAGCTATGGATTGGTATCAATCGGGTTATTGCAAAATATTAAGAGTTTCTTGAAGTTTTTCTTGCATTTTCGGGTGTATTTGATTTATTTTGGATGAAATATTGGTTGTTTGTTCTTCGTGTTCTTCATATTTTTGAGTTTTTGATCGAGTTTAGCCTTAAAATTGCAAATTTTTGTGTTTTTGGCATTTTCTGCGAGGTCTTCGGTCATAATCCTCGGTGCTCTCGGTGACAGCCTCGTATTCGGTTAGGGCTTCAGCAAATCTCGGTGGCCAGCTACGATTTCGGTTACGGTGCGTGTTCTTGGTTAGGATGCGAAGGTTTTCGGTGCAAAGGTTCTCGGTGCGAGATCCATTTCTCGGTTTTCAAGATCTCGGTCAGGAAGCCTCGCATTTTCGGTGCTATTCTCGGATTTTCAAGATTTCGGTCAAGAAGCCTCACATCCTCAGTCTAAAACTTAGTTTTTGGACCAAAAGCCTCGTTTTCGATCAAATAACCTCGTTTTCGGTCCTAAAGCTTCATATTTGGTCAAAAAGCCACGTATTTAGTCAAATAGCCTCGTTTTTGGTCTTCAAGCTTCATTCTCGGTCTAGAAACTTTAGTTCTCGGTCAAGGTTATTCTTTGGACAAAAAGTTTGACTTTTAAGTTTGACTTTCAAGTTTGACTCTCAGTTTTGACTTTCAAGTTTGCCTTTCAAGTTTGACTTTCGAGGATTCAAGTTAAAGGGCGATTCACCCAACCGGGAAATAGATATCGCTGAACATCCCGCCCACGGTCTTGATAATCTTTTTGTCATGCAAAACTGCGGAGACTGAAATGTATTCTCGGATACATTCTTCGTAGGTAAAGGAATTAACGGTTTAGGCACCAGGGCGATGCACCTCGCAAGGCACGATTATCGCTGAACGTCTCGCCAAGGTCCAAGTTAACTTGTTAACTTGAAAACTGTATTGAGATATTTGATCGAGGATATGCAGCGGCTAACATCAAAAATAGCCACGGGTAGTTCTCCGATATTCAACAAATCGCAGTGCGTTCCTCCATGTTCACACAGATACTGCGAGTAGTCTCCATCTAAGCCAAGGCTGGGTCCTTAAACAACTATGGTGAGAAGGGTATTTATGACTCTGTGATCCACAGGGACTTTTTAGTCATGGTTACCTTTCAAGGTGTACATGTGTTGGATGAAGAAATTCGTTTGAAGGAACAGAGGAGCGGTCAAAATTTGGAATGTTTACAAAGACTGAATAAATTTCAGATGACGTTGATGAAGACATTGCTTCATTTCAACCAATGACGGAGATATTCAATGAAGCGATGATTTCACCGACTAAGACTGACATAGAAAGTGATTCATTGAAGCAGTCAAACGTACCAACACCCGACCAGATGGATGCTCACATATAAGAACTAGATCGAGCTGCTAGGATTCCTCCCCAAACAGTTCCTGTAACCACAGAATCACCATCTGAGAGTGAGAAAGAAGAATCAGATTGCTCCCTATTTTCAAGGAAGCTCAAACGCAGAGATAAAGGGGGAGTGCTGATTTATGACCTTATACAAACTCCAGCTACAACCGTTAGACCAACCTAAGTTACAGAAGATGTTCATAGCCCAAAATTCTTGAGACGAAGCAGTGGGCTGCTACAATGGTTCGATCAGATATTCTTCTTGCAAAGAAACGTTGAAGAAAACTAGCAATAAACTATGGGGGAGATTGTTAGGACATATTTATGTGGTTTATGTTAGGTTTATATTATTTAAATGGGTTTGTAGTGTTTTCGGTTAAGTTGACCGAAATCCATCTTGATTTCGATTTGTAGTGTTTATATTATTTAAATGGGCTGGGCTTAGGCTTTTATTAAGCTTTGTATTTTGGTCATATATATAGGTGATAGTCGTTTAGGATTTTGAGAGTTGTTCATTCATTGTAATATTCGGCTATGAAGGAGTTCTCAATTGTACCAGATGATTTAATCAATATAATCGTGTGCAGTTGAGGGAGATGGATGTCTGGTTTTGGGACTTACAGACCTCTTGAACCGCGTGTGCCGACCGATGTTGGATTGGTTTGTGATTGATTCATTGACGACATCCTGTTCTATTAAAAGACCCATGCACTGCATGAATAGCACTTGAGGGAGATATTGGAGACCCTAAGAAGGAAGAGATTGTATGCGAAGTTCTCTAAGTGTGAGTTCTGGTTGCGCGAGGTGCAGTTTCTAGGCACCTTGTCAACCAAAATGGTATTTTGGTCGATCCGGCCAAGGTCGAGGCCGTGATGAGGTGGGAGGTTCCGAGATCTCGATTTGAGATTCCTTGGTTTGGCTTGTTATTACAGGATATATTCAGGATTTCTCCAAGATATTGGTTCCTCTTACTCGACTGACAAAGAAGACTGCCACTTTTTGTTGGGGCCTGTGCAGCAGGCAACATTTGAGACCCTGAGACAGATATTGTGTGAGGCGCTGATTCTGTACCTGCCAGAGGGCATTAAGGATTTTGTGGTTTATTTTGATGCGTCGATCACGGATTTGGGTGCGGTTTTGATGAAGAGGGGTGGGGTTATTGCTTACGCTTCGAGGCAGCTAAAGCCTCATGAGGAGAATTATATGGCGCATGATTTAGAGTTGGGGGCTGTGGTTTTCGCTCTCAACATTTGGCGACATTACCTCTATGGGGTCTGTTGTACTATCTACATAGATCACAAGAGCCTGAGGTATTTGATGGATCAGCCGAATTTGAACATGAGGCATGGTACGTGGTTGGATGTGGTAAAGGATTATGATTTTGAGATCCTTTACCATCCTGGGAAAGCCAATGTGGTGGCCGATGCTCTCAGACGCAAAGCGGTCGCGGTTCCGATTAGGGATATGTGTTTGAGGATGATAGTGATTACTTCACTCTTGGAGCAGATTCGAGAGGCTCAGGTCGAGGCTATAAAGGAAGCGCGACGAAAGAGTGCGCACATAGTGGGGTGACTTCCTTAGATTATGATAGTCAAGGTTTATTCACTCTCCATTGGAAGGTGTGGGTTCCTTATTGGGGTGGTGCATGTCAGGTTCTAATGGAGGCACTACTAGAAAACAGCCCTTTAATGACACGCGAACAATGACACGCACTGATTTACGATACACTTTTTTGTGTGTACTAAAAATAATGTCAGTTTTTAAAAATATAAATGGTAGAGGACGCGCATTTTTGCGTGCCCTAAAATTGGTGTCCAACAGAATATAAAAATTACAAACATGGAGGGCACCTATGTTAAACAGGTGTCGTGTAAGAATGTCGTTTTATATTTTTTTGGGTGAAACGCGCCTCCATCCTTTAATACAAGGTGGGAAATGAAATCCCAAAAAATTCAAAACCCCGCTTGTTCTCCGATCCTCTCCCTTTCATCTTTTTGATGTTGATGTTATCAAAGTGATGCATCTCCTCCTTCTGATGTAAAATCCTCTATGGAAGAAACCCTATTAGCACTGCTCAGTTCTGAATCTTTCTCCCTTTCAGATTTTTGGCGCTCTGCAACCATGGTATCAACTACAAACAACAATGAACCCTAGATCATATTCAATACTCATCCGTCCCCCCATTCACCACTTGCTACCAGCTATCACCATTTTTATGGAATCCAGGCTTTGAATTAGGGTTTACTTTGGCGATAATTTCAACTTCTCTTACACCAGCATCCCAACTCTCCATTCCTAAATCCCCCGCTGCTACTCCGCCTCTTTTCTCCGGGCTCTACCGCTCTTCGAAGCTCGACTCCACTTCACTCTTCACAACTCAATCACCCTTCCAAAATATCACCTCTTTTCTCCGGGCTCTCCTCTCCTTCTAAACGAACTTACACCCTTATAGTCGCCATGGACGGTACAGGGAAGGTATATAAACATGTTTTTTTCATTTTAGATATTTTTATGTACTATCAGATCTATTAGTTGATATATCACAAACTTAACTTGTCTGCTTATAACACGATTTTGTAGGGTTGTTGCCCGGAACAAGAATTGACTACTGATGCACACAAGGTGCTCGACATAATGTCTCTGTTACGTGTTCACCCCGATGAGACCACTTTTGGCTACCTTGTCTATCTATATGCAACAAAAGGACTCGAGCACAAGATGATTGAACTACAAGACTTGGTATCTAGGTTCAATTTGCCCAATAAATCCATTTTTATTAGTAATCTGATCAGGAGGTTATATGAAGCTTTCTGGACAAAAACATCATTATAATATATCAACATCATTTGTAACCTCACTTTTTTCACAGGACAAACTTTTTTGACTCTAAAAGTATTGGAGATTTGACTAGTCAGTTAGGATCAGAATGTCACGGGACACAATAACTAGATTGGATGAGAGTACTTCTTACTGTTGGTGGTGGGAACTCGGAAGTTCCATCCTTAGCGTCAAAGTCTGATTCTGCGATTCTTAATGCATTTTTTTGTATTGTTTATAATTAGTAATCCTGCTCTTTAGACTTGCAGACTCTTATAAACTACCAATTTTGACATTACGTAAATTTTAAGAACAGATCATGAATATGTGTCTTATGTATTGTATACGATTGTGATGTTTTTATTCATGATTTGTTTATGAATGTAGGGTGTGATCAAATGTTCTTCAGCGAGATAATGAAAGAAGATTCTGATATAATGGGGTGTATTAGCTCTAGAGTCAGACATCTTGTCCATCTTCATTGCAAAACTGGTATGCCGAGATAGTTACTACACTTGTTTCAATGTTTCAAAAATGATCAACAAGCACTTGTACTGGAAGGGCAGATGTTAATCAGATATGTTATCATGAATGCTATAGCCCTTAGGAAAAGTCTTAAGAAATACGACAAAGTAAGCAAATATCCTATTCTTTCTTTAGATTGCTATTATTTCTTTTCTTTTTGGATTGATGTGTTGCGATTATGATTTATGTTTGTTTTTCAGGTGCACAACTCTGTAAGTGGCGTGAACTTCATGTCTAAGATGCAGGCTGAACCAGGGGCGGAACCATTTAGCTGGCAGGGGTAGCCCGTGCTACCCCTCAAAAATTCCCGAGAAGAAGACAAGAGAAACAAATCAATGGTATCTATCTCGAGTACTCAAGGTGCTACTCCTTATATAAATTTTGTTCAACTCAAGAGCTTGTCGGAAAGCCTAAATAATCATGAGTCTGCAATGCTCTGGATCAAGGTTACTGTACAAGGCCAATATTTTGAGGGCCCAAAATGTTGTATGTCTATTAAATACGGCCACATGATATGAATAATATCGCTAATAGCGAGACAAATTTTTCGTTCCTGAAAAAGGGGGAGAAACAATGAAACATACGCCAAATACTTATATATTGTGAGCGAGGAAAAGGCTCTTTGTCATCCCTAACCACTACTCATATGCGGCTGCATGATTGTTGTCCTTCTAGTAAGTTTGGTGACTCCATTCCCTCCTTTTTAATTTCTCGTTTGGGTTTTCTATTTGGGAAGTGTTTGGTTAACTTGTATTATGATTAAGATGATGAAGAAGATTGATAGGCGATTGGAATTTTCTTTGACCCGTAAAATCTTTGGATGATATAATATTATAATATTTTTTGTATCTAAATTCTCTTAAATTGGGTAGTAAAGATGGCAACAGATTGTTTTAAGAACCTAATTGTTTGAGATAATGCTTATTAATAATTTTTCGGTATGTTGATTTTCTTAAAGGTTAAGGTTTAATGTTTTTCTTGGATGTTGATAGTTAAGTTGTGGACTGATAAATCTTAATGTTCACTTATTTTTTTTGTTTGCAATTTGCTTTCAGTTAAGGGTTTTTGGCTTTTTTGGAACTTTTACATGTCAAAATTGTTTTTGTCCATTTAAAGTCACTTGCTTACTTTTATTCAAGTAGCATTGTAGAAGATTTCACTACTGTGATGGTCCTTTATAGTTATGCTCTTTTTTCGTTGGTTTTATTAATATTCAAGGTTGTAGTTTGTAGAGTTTATGCAGTTTGGACCTTTTTACTCCTGCTTGGTTTCCTTGGTGTAGAGATGTTTTGATGCTATTTCTTTTAATGTTTCCCCTCTTCTTGGGTGTTGCTTTCTTTGGATCTTTGTTGGTGTGTGGAAGTCTCATTGCTGATATTGAATGAAGTTTCAAACGGATTGTGATTGTGATACTTCTCGTTCTGTGTGGATGGCGTGTGACTATTATGCAACCTATCAGATATCAAGTTGGTTGATTTTTTGTGTGGCTTTTCTTACAACTAACCGATCCCATCGATTTACTCCTTTCAAGCGTTGATGTAAACATAAAATTTACAGGGTATGGCTTTTTTTTAGTCCATCTCTCTATAATTGCCTCTTTCTAAATAGTGAATTTTTTGTAGTTAAGTTGGCAATTACTCTTTATATAACCAATGAGTTTTTATGGTTAATATCATATGATAATTTATATTTTATTGGGATATTTTTGTGTGCTACTCCTGGAGAAAGTTTCTGGTTCCGCCCCTGGGCTGAACACTTGGAGATCTTACAATCACCATGGTTGATTGAACTGGTAGCTTTTTATATGAATTTCAGTGAATCAAATGAAATGATCTGCTATGAGCTTTGTAGTTATTTCTCTTGTGATCTGAGTGTTATAATTTCAAAACTTGTATTGAATTTGGTGCTTCTAGATTATGTAGTTCTGGAATACAGTCTAACTTGTGTTGTTTGCTTGGTATGACTGACTATATATCAAAATTATGAAAAGTTCATAGCTTAAGATTACATAAATTGTAAAACGCTTTTACTCTTGATCCTCAACTACTGTTTTTCATCCATACGCGTTGAGCCGTGGACATATCTTTTGCACGATGTGTGCTTGTTCATCGGGATCTGTTTTGATGTTTGAAGGGGTGAAATCTGCAAGCCCAAAGATGAAGTATTTGGTAATCCAGGATGCATAACTGAACTAGATTTACTTCTAAAACGAAGGTAAACAAGCAGCGTGTTTTGTTGCAATAAATTCTTGACATATTTTCATTTTAAACGAATCTTAATGAGCATTAATGTGGCATTTGCAGGTTTAGAAAAGAATGGGAGGAAAGGCTTACTGAGCATTGATGTGGCCGAGGGTAATTATGTCAATGCAATAGATGGTTTGAATAACTCCTTTTCATATTAGTCCATGTACTCATGCAAAATGCTTGGTCCATAAGGGCCATTAGGCCTTACATTACAGCCAGAGGGCTATCACCTGAGGATTGGATACAAGTTTCACTAGCACTAAGCCAGTTTTAAATGTGTGTGTGTGTGTGTTCTTGGTCCTAAAGCATGGAATTTTCCTCTTCTATTTTATAAATTATCATCATCACTCAATCACGATGGGGAAGCATGAGCTTGTATAACATCATACCTTATTCGATCATGGCTTGCATCCAGACATTTCAAGAGCAAGAACTAGGTCTAGGTCATGCATATATAGTATATTCTTAAAATATCTAACTAGTGATGTGCATGCTATTTTTAGATCTATAATGCAGGAAGAGGAAGGAACATCAAACTTTCAGGTACAACAGTTTGCCCACTCTGCCCCTCATTAAGCCACAGATGAAAAAGACCAAACTACCCTTAACAGTAACAAACCTACATGAGAAGGATGACTACAGCCATGAGTATAACAACAAAGGAAGGGAGTTGTCCAACATCTCCGATGACCTAACTATATGTTTGATTTTCCCTGTTTTCTCTTAATTTTATGTCTGATTATCGATTATCGTTAAAATGTAGCTCGATTATCAGGTTTTGTTGTTAACCTAGAGCTACAATGTTTAAATCTCGCAGACTTTATCAACTACTGTTGAAGAGAAGGCAAAATGGATTTTTAACAAGAAGATCAAGGAATGGGTGCACCAAATTCTTCAGAAACTGCTTATGGAGCCTCTCGAGTTGAACTTTATCGGTATAAAAAAATATTATTTCTTGTTTAATTTAATCCCTTTCTTTTCTTTATTTTCTCATATGTATTTTTTCCTTGCACCAATTATAGATCATGTTAAAGAATCACCTGTTTTCCACAGTATAATGATCCTATAAAGGTACACAATTTTTTTTTAAACTTTTTAAAATCACTTTCTGATTCTTTAAACTCATGGCATCTTTCATGGTGTAGCTTCTTGAAACAAAGAAGGGTCGTTGTGGGGAGTGGGCCAATTTCTTCTCACTCTATTGCAGATCATTTGGCTATGAAATTCGTCTGGTAAGAGTCTAGGGACTGTTTGTTAATTGTTACAAAATCTGGGAAACTTTTTGCTCTTAGTCAAAACTTGAGGGGTTGATTGTAATTAGAGAACGATTTCCTTCTTAGATATTGGATTTTACAGATCACGTGTGGACAAAATGCTATTCGATGATTTTGGTATGCAAGTAATGAACAAATTTGATTAAACTCACATTTGTGTTGACAAAAGCCATGATCGTGAAAATGTCAGACACATCATCATGCCTTGCTCTTGGTCAACTAGGTCACAGCTCATTCCTGACATCATTCGCCATCATAGCAGGTTAGTTGAAAATTGAATTTCAGGACTCTGCTAGTTTTTGTGGCTAATTTTTGTAAATTCTCATCTTTAATTTTCTATTTTGTTTTTTTCAGTGAAGGAAGAACAATTGTTTTCACAAAACTTTCTGGTGTGATGGAGGGAGCACGCCCTCTTCATGGACACATTCAACAGTCTGGTCATGAGGTATATTTAAATCAAAATCATTCTACTCTATTTATTATTTTTGTATAAAGTTTTAAGCTTCTTTTTTTCTTGTTTTTGCTGAAATTACAATTCGACCCCTTCAGTGTGAACCACCGCGTGATGTTGAAGACTACATTCACCGATCTGGGAGGACAGGAAAGTCAAATATTTCAAAATTAGAGAGGGAGGCAGGTGTGAAATTTGAACACATATCCGCCCCTCAACCTGCTGATATTGCTAAAGCTGTTGGTGGTGATGCTGCAGAAGCTATAATTCAAGTTGCTGATAGGTATAATACACTGGTAGTGATTTTACGATTATAACCTTGACTTACTAAATAACATGGTTGTTTAAATTTTTTTGCAGTGTGATCCCTGTTTTCAAGTCGGCTGCTGAAGAGTTGTTAAACAATTTCGGCCTAACACCAGTAGAGCTTCTTGCAAAGGCACTTGCCAAGAGCATTGTGAGTCTTTATATTTTTTGTATTTTAAAATTTGATTTTATATTTTTTCCTTATTGTATTATGGTTTATTTTTGTATTTTAAAAAATTATAATATGTTGTCACAGGCTGCAAGAGATGCTGGAGCTCTTAAAGAAGCTAAGGACAAACAGGAGAAGTGAGTTGAAGAGCTGACATGGAGATTAGAATTTGAAAAGCATTTGAGGGTATATTTTTTTTATATTTCTTGTATCTAATTAGTTTGTAAATTTGTGTTACAACTTCTATTGATTTGTTTTATCTTTCCATGTAACGATTATTTGTATGACATTAAATTTTATGCAATGGATTGTACTTTTTGTATATGATATTTTATTTTCTATTATGAGACATTAAATACAAATTTAATTTGAAAATTAGTAAATCTAAATAATATTTTTTTTAAACATATAAAATTATGATACACAAAAAAGTGTCATCTTCATTTACGACATGACCTTTCTTGACAGGGGCTTTAATGATACGCAATGAAAGTCGTAAATGCGCATCGTAAGGTTACGACACGCAAATGTGTGTCATCTTCATTTATGACAGGGCCTTCCTTGATACGCAATGCGTATCATAAACGCGCATCGTAAATGCGTGTCGTAATTGTGCGTCGTAATTGCGCGTCGTAAATAGACAACGCGCAAAAGTGTGTCGTCTCTCATTATGACAGGGCCTTCCTTGACACGCATTTGCGCGTCGTCTGAGCCTTTTACGACACGCATTGCGCGTCGTAAAAGGCTGTTTTTCTAGTAGTGAGGAGGCGCACAAATCGAGATTTTCCATTAACCCCAGGGAGACGAAGATGTATAGAGATCTCCGTCTTGATTATTGGTGGCCCTGTATAAAGCGGGATGTAGCTTAGTATGTGGAGAGGTTATTGAATTGCAGGAAAGTCAAGACCGAACATCAACGACCCCACATCAAGATGCATCGTTAGCCATTCCTGTTTGGAAATGGGAAGAGATATCATGAATTTCATTACCAAGGTTCCTCGGACAACGCGCAGAGTGAATTCGATTTGAGTCAACCTAGATCGATTGACCAAGAGCGTGGACTTTATTACAATTCAGGAGATTATCTATATGGAGAAGTTAGTTGACATTTATATCAAGTAGGTTGTGGCACGGCAGGGGGTGCCTGTTTTTGTGATTTCAGACATGGATGTCTGGTTTACTTCCAGGTTTTGGAAGAGGTTCCACGAAGAGCTCTTCTGCATTTCAGCACGGCCTTTCACCCGCAGACGGATGGTCAGATCAAATGGACCATCCAGACATTGGAGAATATGTTGTGGGCATGTGTTCTGGATTTCGGCGGTAGCTGGGATACGTATCTTCCGTTACCAGAAATTTTCGTATAATAATAGTTACCATGCCAACATTGATCTACCTCCGTTTGAGATTCTCTATGGGAGGAAATGCACGACCCCACTATGTTGAGGTGAGGTCGTTCAGTGGGTCATGGGGAGTACCGAGTTGGTACTCAAGACCACCAAGTTGATTCAGCTGGTTCGGAGTAGACTTTAGACAGCTCATAGTCCGCAGAAGAGCTATGTTGACAAGCGCCAATCAGACCTAGATTTTCAAGTTAGAGATATGGTTCTCCTGAAGGTGTCACCTTGGAAATGTATCATCCTATTCAGGAAACGAGGCAAGCTAGGCCCGAGGTATATCGGTCCTTTCAGGGTTGTAGCCCGGGTGGGCAGGGTAGCTTATTGATCGGATCTTCTGGAGGATCTCAATCAGATTCACAACACTTTTCACGATTCTCAGCTACGGAAGTTTTTGGTTGATGATTCCATAGTGGTTCCATTAGAGGATATTCAAGTGGATGACCGACTGAACTACATTGAGATACCGGTAGCGATCCTCGACAGGAAGACGAAAACCTTAAGGAACAAGGTTTTTGAGTTGGTAAATGTGCAGTGGCCACACCGCAAGGGTTCAGAATGGACGTGGGAGCTAGAGGACGAGATGAGGAAGCATTACCCAGAGTTGTTTTTGACAGTGGAGTTCGAGGACGAAGTCTGATTCAAGTGGGGAAGAATTGTAGCATTCAAATATTAGATATTTCGAGTTTAGCCCTTAACCTATTTGAGTTTGCACATTTGGTCCCATTTAGTGAGTTTTGCATTTCACCTCATATGTTGGGCGTACATGTGGGTACGCGCAACATACTCATGTGGCCAGATTGTGAAACCGATGGTAGTACGCTTGGTGTACATGTGGTACGTCGGGCGTACTAGCTCAGCCTCAAAACCCTAATTTTAAGGGTTTGCTTCCCTATTTAAACCACCTTATGCCTCCCTTAGACATTCCTTATCATCCACCTTCCCTCAAAAACCCTAATCTCGAGTTTAAGCCTTGTTTGTGAGAGTTTGGAGCTTATTAGTAACTTTTGGTGCTTATTTGTTGAAGAAAAAGACCATTAAAGAAGGAGGTGTTGCTTGCAAGCTTATAGATCCAGAAACTACTCCTCATTATGCATATTTTAAAGGGATAAAGCCTATACCTTGATGTGTTTCCCTTTTGATCTCCAAAGTTTGGTTGATGAGCTTTTTGTCCCAAAGTTTGGACGTTTAAGAGTTTGGGATACTCCAGAGCATATTAGTTGTCCCTTCATGCATGTTAGGTCTTGTAGATTTATAAAAATGGTTGCTTGATGGTCCTTTTCTAGACATGCATGAGTTTGGTCGTGATGAGTGTGGATTAAGTTAGAGTTTTAAGATTTAAGCCCTTTTCAACAATGCAAAGTCATGTAGTTTTAGACTTTATGGATTAAGACGTTCTAAGAAGGTTAGATCTGTGTCTGGATGCATGTCTTAATGATGAAGACCTTTTTGGTTTGGTTTATGTGGTCAGACGGAGTATGCCCCACATACTACTGGCAACGCACAACGTAGCCAGGTGAGACCTTGATCCCGCCTGATTCCTAAAGTACACCCTGCTTAGGAAGAGAGTATGCCCAACTTACACGGCGGGCAGTTGACTTTATTTGACTTTTGGACTTTTGGTCAAGATTTAGAGTTTTGAACCATAGGAGGTGCAAAATGGTCTATTTGCCCTTAAGGGGTTTTGTTGTGGGTCTTGGACTCGCGAGTTTAGTAATGGACATGGATTATTAATTAGGGTTAATTATTGTGTTATTTGGTGGAGTTTAGTTCCAATAGTTCGGGTGTGAGATTTAGTTGTCTTCAATATCAGGTGAGCTTCCTTCATTGTATCTGTGGGTCGAAGGCACCAATGCCGACCCACTGGTTTATGTTGGAGTATAATGGTTGACTTCATGACAACTATCGGTTATGCCTATGTTTGATAGTTAACTCTTTTATTCTTTGTTATAATATTATATGGTAGTGGTAGAGGTGAAATAGACCCGGTATCTGATTGAAACAGACCGAATGGGATTGCAAGCACCCATATATGTTTGACAGTATCCGGTGGAAATAGACCGAAAGGAATTGAAAGCACCCAAACATGCTTCATTTTATCCAATTGAAATAGACAGAAGGGGATTGCAAGCACCCAAATATGCTTGCCTGTATGTTTGTATGGTGTGGGGTATTTTGGGGGAACTCATAAGCTTTGCGCTTACGATTTTCAGTTTATGTTTCAAGTACTTTCAGTTTTAAAGGGAAGGGACCGGCCTGATCGCACCACACCACCCTATGGTTTCCGCATTTTGAGATTTTGGGAATTTGTACTCTGATAATATGTTGCTATGATACTCTTTTCACTTCTTTCAAATAAGTATCGTATGATTTGAATGAATTTAAAAAAAAATTGTATTTTTGGGATGTTACACCAGCATTGGTGCCTTCGACCCAATGGTATAGTGAGGAGAATCACCTTAAATAGAAGATAGCCATTATCGCTCCCAATTCTGCTACAGAAAGGCTCCACATACTGAACACAATCAATACTAACCCAAGTTACGTTCCTAAGGTCAAGCCCATAAATCATGAGGCCCAATAATGACCCATGCCCAAACTAGGCCCACTAATGGCCCAAGCTTAAATAGGGAGTCCTAAGGCCCAATACGAATTGAAGTCCATAAGGTCTGCAACCCTAGAGTGTAAAAAGGTGGCCCAAAATAAAGAGGTCCCAAGAAGAGTATGCCATGCATACCCACTTGTACGAACCATTTATGCGCACTGTACAACTCGACAAAGCAGAAAGAAATAGGGACTCCTCGGTAGTACGCCCCACATACCAGAAGTGTACGCCCCGCGTACAGCCCACTAATTCACAACATATAATTCTCCGATGCCTAATCCATGCATTAAATTAAGCGTACTCCTACGTACGCCCTGCGTACTCACTAGAGGGCCAAAATCCATAATAAGCTCTTAATGGTTAAAAAAATAACATCCAAACTCAGATCTGAACCTTAAGGGGTGTCTTAACCTGTAAAGTTGGCAACTTTATTGCCTTGCATGACTTATTGGGACCGAAAACTTGTGTTTATCCATACTAAGAACACCAACTCTAGCATCCTTCAACAAAAATCCTCAAGATGACATTTTTTATAACTTAACAACCTCAACAAAGACCAAATATGGAATAACTTCTAAAATACCTCCCAACACTAGATCTATACAAAAAATCCATCAAGGTTGAGACTTTATATATCCAGAAGATGTAGAAAGAAAAACCAAGTCTGGATCTACAAGCTCCAAGGAATCCAACTGAATCGTGTTCTTCGGATATTTTTTCTTCACTCAAAATCTTTCGAAATTTTTCATAGCGCTGTATGGAACTAAGTTAGGGCGACAGAAAGGAAATCAGATGCAATTTATATGTACAAAAATTCATCTGCACGTTCAAAGCCAATTTAATGAAATACGCCACTATTTCTAGGCTTTCTAGCATTTACACGATTGTGGTTTTCCATTATTTAAGATCGTGCTTTAGCCTACGATTGCGTTTTGGGTCGTGGAAGGCTCTCGAGGATTCTCAAGACAATTTTCCACCTTGAAGGAAAAACACAATTGTAGTTTTGAGGGAAACATGATCGTGTTTTTGGGTTTTTTCTTCAGACTTCAAAATGTGGTTGCATAAACCTCGAAGAAGTTACACGTTCGTGGTTTGAGAAAACACGATCGTGTTTTCTAAATTTTGTGCAAATTAACCATTTT